AAAGTTTCTGAAGTTGTTCTTATTGACCTCCACCTAAGATTTGCATAAGTACATTAATAAACCGTTAAGCCGCTGTTCTTGCTCGTTAGAGGTAGCGCTCCTTGCTTATTTATAGGCAATAATCTCCCATCTCGTTAAGGAGATGATGAGGGTTAAGCATGTGGTTTCCGCATATTCAAACCCCCAAACTGGAAGACAATTTAGCCATGCTGCTGTCATTTTTATTATAATGGTAGTCCATGCACAACTTCCACCAAACCCAAATTCAGTCCATTAAAAAGCTTCGGAAAGCTCGCTCTCGTAAAGTATAGTGACCCGAAAGTAGCTTTTCGAAGTCGACGAACTCTTTATTCGAATAGATTATGTCTTTCGCCTACATTTGGGAATTTATTAGCAATGCTATTTGATTGCAGTCCCAACATTATTCGCGAATTTTTAGGAGAGCAGGAACCGATGTAGCAACCTGAATTTGCGACGCCAGTCAGGGTATATTGCTGTCGGAGGAGAAAAAGAAAGTTTGTATCATTTCCTTGTAATTCATTAGCGTCAGCAAAAGTTGTGACGCCCGTGGCACCGCCGATATCGGCGGCGTAATAAAGAGATTCCTGTCATAATGATGTTTAATAACATGGCATTTCCATTATTAATTGCTGGATCCAGTATGAAACCTAATAAGAAAAATAATGGTACCAGCGAAAACGTCCGCGCGGAGAATTATATAACGTGGAAAGCCCTAATTAAAAACTCTAAGGCGATCGCTTGAACACAAAAAAGTCATTTCCAAAGTCGATATTCTCAAAGAATCGCCCATTCCCCAAGTAATTACAACGAAAATCAATTTATTTTAATATTGACAAACTATAAATAACAACTACCTCGCCAAGAAGAGAATTAAATCGCCGGAATGGATTTTCTTTAAAAAAAAAACATGAAAACGCCTCGACCATAACATAAATTTATCGGCTTGACTTCATCACCTTCGATGCAATAGAGGTTCGTAAAGAATGAGATGCCCGGGCAAAAAGGCCGAGTCGGGGTCAAACAAACAGATTGGGATCACCAAAAATGAATAAAGCGTCGAGGATGTTTATTTGAGGAAGACCCCTTTAAAATATCTTGTCAGATAACTTTGAACTCAATGAAAAATCTTCGCAATAAAGTTTCAGAACTCAATGAATTTGATTAGTTTTATTAAAAAAGCTTCAAAAGTTTTTATATTAATAATACATCAATTTGGGACACTGAAATATTCCAAAAGAAAGTAAATTGCTTGGGAAAGTCAAGGTTGGGGTTTTAAATGGGTTGTTATGTTATTCTGTACCAATCTTGAAAATTTATTGCAAGCGGAGACGTGAACATTTTACAAAAACTTCAATTGTAAACTGCGAAAGATAAGAAAAAATAAATCTCGTAGACGCATTTAATAGCCTCATAAAAAATAAACAAATTACATTTTGCTTAACAAATCTGAAAGCCTTTTGATGATCTTCCCCTTTGTGGTCTACCATTAATTATATTACAAGTTTGATACTACAAAAACAATATTACGATTAATATCAAGATACCACGTTTTATTTGCTGATTTTAGAAATCACAATTCAAACAGGCAAACAAAAAAAATCATTTTCCACATAACACCAAACCATTATTTAAACAAACAACTCATATTTTGGTTCAGTTAATATTTAACCAGGCATGGAATTTGCCTCGTGGAATTGTGTAACTATTTTTTTAGTGATGTTGGTAAAGCCGAACGCAACAACCAGAGATCCAACATAAAAACGTAAAACCAGCGTTCATGCAAGTATACAGATAAGTATAGGTATACATTTCAAATTATTATTTTATACGTAGCAAACTAACATTTCAACATTTTGACTAATTTTGATGAAGGTATGCGAAGACTACGTAGATTTAGACTACGTTCAGAAAAGCGGAAATTAACCCCAATGTTATAATAATTCTATTTTTGTTAAATGATTTCAAACAAATTGTGCTTTTTACCTATTTTTCTGTATTTTTTGAAAGGTTTCACGTCGTACGTTTTTAAATGCAAAACAGAGTGTCGGCTTATTGATTTTTTAACTACTTACGAGCAGGTACATATTTGAATAATGTACAAGATTGGACAGACAATTTCCGGTGGAATTTTAATGCAAATTTATAACTCATAATATTAATTTTGAAAAATATATTTCCAAGAAAGAGCAAAACATAGTTATTTACCCATAAAAACACAGTTATTTTTTTAAAACAACATTTTATTTTTATTTTTTTATTAATAACTTCAAACCGATAATTTCAAATTATCAAAATGCCATTTATTTACAAATACAATTTAAATAAAATCAATAAACATTAATTTATTTCGACTATTAATCTTTGTCACTAAAGTTTTTACTTTATCTTTCGGTTATAAATAAACATTTCAGTCCTATACAGGCGCCTTGGATAAGGTATAAATTTTTTTCTTGATTTCGTTTTAAGAGTGAGATTAAACCATTGTTTAAAACTTGGCACAAACTTTAATCCTTGGGGGTGGGCGGCTGAAAAAGTGCGTTTTTTTCGTTTCATGAAACTAATATCTGTGTCATACCAAACCGTCCATCACAATGAGTTCTGTTAAACATAATGAGAATTCGCATCGATCAAGGTTTAAAAACTTGTGTCAGTAATCAATCAAGCGAGGACGATGCCATCACGGGGGTAGTTATAATGGCATTTCCATCAGTTATATTTGAAAGATAAAGTATATATAAACAACGTCTGTTTTCGACAAGAGGACTGGTGATTGTGAGATTAACGAGATTATTTATTTAGTTATGATGCATTACTGGACCATCTTCGCTGAATAACAAACCCTCGCACATTATGCAAATTTTCGATAATAACGTTTAGACTTTACACCTGGCCGTTTAAAAGAACGTCATCACAAACTCGCTTATCAAATATGGTAAATTTGCCTTTTGCCGTGTAAAAGCATTTGAATAGGTACGCTTTCAAAAGACTCGTAAATAAATTTGTATGCATAATTTATAGTTGATGGCATGCCGTCTTGCATATTTACACCGGATTTTAAGATCAAACCGCTTTTTTAGGAGTGCTTGCACAAGACGGCAGGTATGAATATTTAGCGAAAATTATACAAAACATACACAAACATTGCCCCATTATGCAAATCAAGAAATAAAAAGTACGGTCCTTCTGATTTGTCATAATATCAGAAGCAGCTGTGACCTGTGACACGTCAAATTAATAATAATTGTTTATTTGCATAAAATCGATGTTTATACACCTACAGATTTATTTTTAATTTCAAATGCTTTTGATTTGGTGGTGAGGCAATAGCACGACTTCAATAATAAGCAGCAACTGAAATTGCTCTCACATGAGATATTTTGACTCAAAGTAATTCAAATAAAAACTATGAAATAAAATGTAATTACAATATGTAAACAAAAAATATTTTTAACATATGTAGTTTTTTTGAAAATTTCCAAAGCATATTTGTTTTTTCAAAACTAAAATTATGTTAGAAGTGTATCTTTAACTAGCAGAGCTAAACCACAAAAGATAAAAATTTAATCCATGCAGGCATTTTCTGGTGATCAGCAAAGACCAGCGAAATGTCCTATCACATGGCTAGCAACAACCCGACAACCACACAATTACAAACATTGTTACAATAATTAAATTAAATTTTATTGTTGCAGTCAAACTGTTTTAGATTTGCTACAATAATTACTCTTTCAGTGTATAGAGAAACTTTGTGTGTAAATTCTCTGTATTTGTCAATGAAAAATATTATTTATTTACAATATTTTTATAAAGCTATTAAAACTCAAATTATAAAAACACACTAAAGAGGAAATACTCAACATTTTAGAACAATTTGAGACAATATGCAAGAGGAAATTTAAAAGATGTTTAAGAAATAATTTCTTTTAGAACATGCGCATACCATGAGTAGGTTGTATAGGAAAATTTTACTGTAGAAACCCGATTTCAGTTAAAACCTTAATTTTAACTAGTTTTAACATTCTTTTTTAGTCAATTATAAGTTGAACAAATTAACACCAAAATATTCTCAGTTGATTCTGATTTTACAAAATGGGTGCGCTAGAACTTGTACCCCAGAGAAAAATGCCATAAACATGGAAAAAATGTTAAAAAAATTCTACCTATAAAAATTTCGAAGTTATAAGTTATAATTGCACTTTGACTCTATTTTGCTACAGGCTATTAGGAGAAGAAACAAGGAAGTTATGTATCCCAAATTTTAACTCTCTTTAATGTTATTTGTGGGTTTGGAATCTTTACTTTAAATGGCTAAATTTTTTAAACACTTTTTCCATGTTCTAACTAATCTTTACTAATACGAGCCTTTGTGGGTTTGCCTACTAAACTATTATGACTTTCCATATGTAGTTACATGTGAGTAGTATTATTAACATGCGCGACAGATAACAACAATAATAATTTGTACCTATTTGTGTTTCAATTGTGTAACAATTCTAAAATCGCGATAATATTTTACTGAAATTAAATCGTTGCCTAAATGGGACCTAAAGCGTCTAAGTAGATATTAAAAAATATAAGCAAAAGCCATTTTCCTCGATGAAACTACACCTATTAAGTACAAACTTTTTGTTAAAGTGTTTTTTAATAGGAGGGCCTCTAAATAAACAATGAAATGAGGATCTTTATGTTATGTTATGTTTTTATGTTAAATTCATAAGGTGCTAACTTTTATGTTATTTATTAGTAATTACGTTTATCTTGTGAAATCTGACTGCGTAACTACAATAGTAACTAATCAGTTATAAAAGTTCAATATTGGTCTTTTCTTTACGACAGAAGTTTTTAGTTTGAAAATCCTGTATGAAAAATTAGAAATAATTATCGAGAATTAAACAAAATTTAACTTTAACTGCTCAGAACCTGCTTCTGTTTAAATTTCTGAAATTACTCTAAATTTAATAACTTTCTAGAGGTGACAAACTGAGATAACGAGTGAAGTTATCAACTCTATTGTTCAATTGGAATCGCAGTGGCATCTTGTTCAATTTGATGAGTAACGAGGTGTGACCCATTTTGCAACATCCTATAAAGTTTTATCTCTCTGCACCTAAAATGAGCGGAAGTTAAGGTGTAATATTTTAGCGTTTTGTCCAATTAACGTTTCCTCATGTCGCGATATTTAACTTTTGTGGCGGTGGGAGACCATCTAAGCAACAAAACAGAGCTTTTGCTTAAATACACCGGAATTCACGACTTGGGTGTAAAAAGGTATTTGCTTTTTATCACATTTTAGCGTCTCTTCTAATTTATTAACTTAGGTTTGAAAACAACGTCCAAAGCATTATAGTGGATCGAGTGCGCTGGATGGTGCATTTTGTCGATACTGAATGTGACGACGACTACGAAATTTTGCGAAGACGGGCTTATGATGAGGTACGAATCGGGAAAAACGTGCTGATGATAAATGAATGACTTTCAGGCTGATTGTATTCTGCTTTGTTACTCGGTTAGGGTAAAATCGACTTTTAAGAATGTGTATAAGAAGTGGTGTTTGGAAGTTCGTAAATGTGCCCCTCTTGTTCCTATTATCTTGATAGGTATCCCAAGTTCTTTAATAACGGAAACTTAAACAAAAAGTACACTAATTGTGTTTATTGCAGGTACCGATATTGAAGCTCGTGTCGACAATAATAGCTCAATATCGACAGAACAAGGAGAAAATTTGAAATTACTTATTGGAGCTTACGCCTTTGTCGAATGTTCAATTCAACATTTTCTCGGCATTGATGACATATTTATTGAGGCAGTGCGGAGCACCAATCACCGAAAAAAATTCTGAAACACTTCCGTCACTTCATTTCCTTCCTTCACGCTATTCTTTATTTTAATCAATTCAAATGTTAAGTTTGCTGTCAGCGTTTCAATAGAAGAGAATAAGTTAATAAAAAATCCGTTAAATAAGTAACGAAAAATCTCTTTACTACCTTGCTGTTACAAAGTCTCAACGTAATGGATTTTTTATAAAAGGTATACGCATCCTGCCTTAAGGCCTTTCGTTCTTATTGAATAAATACCGGTCGGTTACAACTATTGTAGCATTATTCCTCGCAGCTATGTTACAGCAAACTCGGTTGGATCATTTACTGAGACAGAAGGTCCCAAAGCTGTCGGAAATCTTAAAGCATTGCGCCCTTGTTAAGGAAAATGTCAAAATTCTAGTCTTGTACCGCCGAGGATGGAAATTGTAATTATCAATGTTTTAACACGACTAACAGAAGCGTACGTGAAAGGTTAACCGGGGAACCACCGGTGACAATTTTCGGGTGCTCGTAGTTCTATTAACAACTGTCGAGTTAGCTACAAGTCAAAGCAACAATAACATTGCTCAAGTTTGCGACAAAAATGAATTTGATTTGGAAAGTTCTTAAAAGATCACAATGTTTTACGATTCACTTTGTAATATTTTAAAACTATTCAATGACAATTTCTACTAATTTTGTATTTATTTTAATTCTAATGAAGAAGCTAGAGAAGAGTTAACGACTGTTTGTTGTTTTCAGTTTGAGTTGTTATTTGAAAACTGCTGCAGGTATACAAAATTGAAAGTAGCATTTCATTATTAAGACATATATTTTACTTTTATTAATGGGTTTTTTCTATATTTTTGTATATTTTCATTATTTATTTACGTAGTTCCATCATTGTCGATAGATGGGTTCTAAAACTTTTCGATTCTATGCATAACAAGTCTTTCGAGTCAAACGAAGCTTTGTGTAAATTTACTAGTTGTTATAAAGTTGTGTTGCGTAAAAATTATTATTTTATTGCATCTACAAATTTATTATTAAAGTTAGTCCACTTATTTTTGAGTTGCTATAAGAACTAGCTCATTTTATGAAACAAAACTGTTTCCAAAATTAGCATTTTATTGATCAAAGAGTAACAAATTTTCTTTCAAATTTTAATTAACTTTGCTGTTTCTATTATTAGCATGGAATAGTAATGGAATAAGAAAAACTAATCATTTCGTTTTTCTTTAATAAATTGAAGTAAATTGGCTTTTGAATGTCATCAGAATCAACAACTTCTATGTAATTTCAATACTGTTTCCAAATTTAGCTTGTATTTACGTGTTTCTTTGATATCGTGTCGTTAGAAGAAGAGATCAAAAGTAGCTCTGGATAGGTTACTAACCGAGCTGAATTACATCTCCTTAATTACACAAAAACATGCGGTTCAGCTAGAATACATGAAAGATTTGTGCTGAATCAAAGTAAAATGTTGAGTTTAACTAAGGGAACAAAGCTTTCAAGAAATCTTTCCAAGTGTGGACTTGTAACAAACACTGTATTTCAGTCATTCGTTTCACACAAAGGAAACTTCAAAAAAACCCAACAAAGACAATTTGGCAAGTAAAGTTTTCAGAAATTGAAGAATAAATTAGTGCAAATTTCGAACATTAATTTAATTTATTAGCTCGTTGCAGATGACGTTAACATAGCTGAAGAGCACTTAGTTGGTCTTAATGTCATGACAATACAACTTGCAAAAGGAAAAAATGAATTCGGGAGGAAAATCCTCGTATTTTCTAAGTTTACACTTGTTTGGGGTCCATCACACGTTATCGAATTTTAAGCGTCTGACTTCACTTCTAGGTCAAACGATTTCGATCGTAAAAAATATTAGGCAGGAAAATCTCTTATTTGCAAGAGATTCTCGGAAGGAAAAACTAATTTAAAATAAAACTTTTACGGTCTTTTAAACGCTTTTAGCACTGTCGTAGATGCAAAGATGAATTCATTAATCATGTAATGTATTGCCAAAACGAAATCCACTTTAAGGATGTAAGTACTAACTTGAGTTCACTGTTGCATTATTGATGTATCCTCCAAGCCGGAAAAATTCTTAAAAAGTCGCAGGCTGTATTAAAATCATATTGAATCGAATCGCTCTTGTCGATAGAAAGTTTTTAATGGAAAAGTTACTCTAAAAGCTTTGTTTTGCAAAAATATATATATTTCAGTTAATTATACATATGTAACTCACCCGATCATCGACAAATCACAGGGAAAGTAGAATTTACGAAAATAACTGAGCTTCGTTTTTCATTTTGATTGATTATGCTCTGATGTACAAGATCGATTCTGAAGATGCAAATTTTTGTGTCGGGGATGGCACAAAATACACTTTATCATAATGGCGGCATTAATAAATCTTACTTCCATTATCGTATCACAGACACAATATGTTAACGACAAAAACGAGGCATTAATTTAAATAAAAACAAACCAGAGATTGAAAACATGTAAATGCTGAGGTACCCAAATAAATATCATGTGTGTTCATTAGGCACAGTTGAATGTATTAAAAATAGGTCAATTTCTATGTAACACAGTTATTTTTTTTACTCGACAAGTTATTCAACTTTTAAATTTTCAATTCTTCAATAGTTTAGTGTTTGGTTTGTAGACACGCAACGACCGATATAAACAAAAACGTTTTCGTTACGAAACAATCACTCACCGGCAAAATTATCGCATTACATTAGAAAAGTGATTTTTTATTGAAATAATGCTTAAAAATAAATAAATGAATCAAAAATTAATTAAGTATCTTATTAACATTAAGTTAAACTAAAATTACGACTTAAACTTCAACAATTAAACTACAATTTAATGATTTAATGATTTACACCATTTTTTTAAATCCATAGTCGACTGAGTTACTTGATAATCCTATATCATCAATTTTAGTATTATTTTTAGAATCCTTTAGCCATTAAACCCTAAAATTTAAGTGATGCAATAATTATGCCGGTGAGTGTATATGATTTCGAGAATTACTTTTTTATACCAACAATTCGAATCTACTCAACATGCTTTTTTGTCAATTAGAATAGGACAAAAAAAGTTTTCAAGTAGTTTCAAAATCCTTACTTTTTTTAAGATTTTGAGTTTCGATTACACGCGCACTGAAATTGTGGTGTAATGTCAATTATATTTGGGAGACGCTTTATGTATGTACCTATTTAAGTTAATTGAATACAAAAAATACCACAGTAAGTCGATATCATTTACAGTAATTAATCGAAATGAGTCATAATAAAAAAAACTTGACTTATTAGAACCTAATTAATGTAAAATTAAACAGTTATAAACACATGTTTTATAGTATAAACCTCTGGTCACAAACATTTGATTTCTGTGTAAAAGAAGAATCTGCGATACAACTGAACCTAACTGACAAATTTAAAGCTAAGAGCCACTTTTTCATACAAAATAAATACTGTGGAAAGTAACAAAATGGCAATAAAAAAATCTCGAGATGTAGCTAAGCCTAATTAATAATTAGCCATGACAAGTACAAAATATAAAACCCATATATTTTCTTTTTTTTCCTAAAACTTATACATATAATTGTATACATAATTTTAATCAGCATATAAAATTTGATCATATCGTGTGATACATCGTTGTAATCAGGAGCAAAAAGACTTTTCAAAAGTATAGAAATAGAATATGGCGTCCGTAAGAAAATTCAAAGTTGATGACAGATTTAGATTCCTTGTAAAAAAGTGCCTTAAAAACGTCCAAGTTAAAAACGCCTAGGTCTTTTAGTTTTTGCTTGAAAAAATAAAAACGGAAATTACAAATTTCCGGTTTTTTTTCCAATAATTCAAAAACTAAAAATGAGACAATAAATTTTCTTCCAGATTATTGTTCAGCATAAAAATGCGCAACTTTGTCCTAATTTAACCGACCTCATATCTCTTATAATAACTGAGATCCCCATGGTGGAGCTCGAAAAACGAACATCCTGTATGCGTGTACCTTTTTTTATTCAACAACTGTTAGATTAAAAAACAAAAATACTGGATTTTTAAAATTCTGAATTTCGCCACGAAAGTTATTAGGTTGTTAGTGTCGTCACAGCATTCTGGATTGTTACTCCATCTACACGTTCATTAAATAACTATTTTTTCTATTACAAACTGTGATTACAAATAATAATTTGTCTTCCAAGTGGCCAAAATAGAGATTTAAATTCCACTGTTAGGCTGTTAGGAGTAAAGTAGTCTTTTTAAAATAAGAGAGATAAATAACTCAACTCCTAACCTCACAATCAAAGTTGTCAAACGTCAAAATGATCGAAGCGTAAGGTTATGTTGTGGCCCCAAAATGCTCTATAAAGACATTTTTAACATTGTGACTCTAATCGCTAACGACAAGTACAGCCGTTTTGCGGCCCTTGCTATAACAATATTCTCCGCATTTGTAACAATATTTGTTAGGTTAGATTTTCATTCTTTTTATTCATTTACTTTAACCACTGTTTGTAGTTTCTTAGCCGGTGTTATAATTTACGGAGGCTACATATTAGGATGTTTAGTGTCTTGGTGTTTTTTAAAATACCAGAACACAGCTTCAGCGTATCTTTCGAGTTTGGTCAGTTTTTGTTATGGGAGTCATTCCTCTAAAAAGAAACTGAAGCAGTCATGCAGCATTTGTGATGATTTGTCTTGTAAGAGGCACCAACAAAATAAAGTTGTAACACCGTGGAACGATTTGTACATTCCCAAAGAACTTAATACTGTGATTGAAAACGTGAGTTTTTTCTATTAAAAATCCGTTTTGAGTCAACGTCTTACATTTATAGTTTTATAATAAAATATTGGAGTCGTTCATAATTTCGTGGTACGGGCAATTTACTTCAGATGTGGATTTCATAAATGAGTTGCGTTATTGTTTACAATACGCTAGTGCAGCTGTAATAAACCAGTTTCTAAATCTAGACCATGCAAATGTAATATCCAGAAAACTGCTCCCCTGTGTTGTCAAACATATTGATGATTACATGTATATGCAACAGATAATTAAATTGAAAAAAACAAGACTAAACGATGTTATTGTCGAATATTTGGGTACGAGACTTCATGCAGCAACAGTTAACAGAAAATGTGAATTAAAGTATCTCCAACATTTATCATCTTCTCTAATTCCTCATATTTTACCCGACAAATATTTAAAATGCCAGAATTATGTAGTTTTAATTCGTGAAATATTAGCAGGGTGGGTTTTCTTACCCTTGATGGATGTCCTAGCTGACCCAAACATAATAAATTCTCTCGTAATACTCGCAGCGACATACCGTTCAAATCAAACGAGACATAAACATACCCCCGAAAAAGTGAAATTTTTAGAGAACTTTGTCGTAAATAACCAGCAGAAATCGTCATTTGCTACTGACTTAAACACAATAAAAGGAAACACAGAGTTATTGTACGCTTTTATGCAGTTTTTGAAACGAGAAGAGCATGTCCATCTGTTGCAATTCTGTTTGGACGTTGATGAATTTAACAATAAATTGCTCACTCCGGATCTGACTAAAAAACAACTTGAAGAACTCCATTCCGAAGCTTTGACGCTGTATAAAGAGTATTTGAACAGAAATACGATCAATTTTATCGGTTGTTCCGATGAAATTATTGAAAATTATTATTCACTTCTCAAAGATGGGGTGTACAACGTTGCTAAATTAAGAACCTCGAAACCCTTATACCAGGCCTATGAACACACATTCACTGTTCTGGAAAAGGTTTGGTTACCGTCGTTTTTTCACAGCAATGAGGTGAGATATTTTCATTCGTATCATAATTTGTTACTGTTGTAAAAGTTTTATAGTTTCATCTGCGGTGCGAAAGTCACAGCTGTTTACAGTAAGGGGGCTGCCACAAAGTGAGTATTAATTACTAAAGAGGTATTTTTTCACTCTTTACTAAAACTATTAAATCGGGTTTTAATAAAATCTAACAGATCTCTAGTTAACTTTGGCTCACCTTTAAAGTCTCGGTGAGTTTTGGTGTTTGTGTTTGTTTGTGCATTTCAGTTTTTTTTTGTAATTGTTTGTTTTTTTTTTTCAGGAGGAAATATTACGAAACACCTAGTCAAGGCACTGTTGCTAAAATCAGTAGTGGTATTGGTAAATTAAGAGGAGCTTTGAAGGTAGCTCAACCGATAGATGGCGCCATACATCCTCCCGAAACTCAGGGAATTGAAAATGGGGCTGTGGAAGATATCATTATTTCTGAATGCGGAAATATTTTTCGAGATTTGAGTTCTTGGAGAGTCTCAATATTGTCATATCAGGTTTTATTTGTGTGCGAGTTTTTACCACCAAGTGATTAAAAACATTGTAGATAAATAACAAAGTTGTAAGTTTCTGCATAAACGTACAAAGGCTAGACGTTGTCGAAGATGTTACCAAACGACATTGGATAGTTTTAAGAAAAGATCAAGATTTTTACACGCTTAAAGCAAAACTTGTTGAATTTCATGGAGAAAATGAAATTTCGGATACTCCACTTCCTTCTAGAAAGTATACATTTACGTAGTTTGTTTAATTGAAATAAATTTATTATGTGATAGGGCTGGGAGTGCTATTGAGGTTCGAATGAAGAAATATGAAGAATTCCTTACCAAACTGCTCCAGAAACCTTTACTAAGGGGTAGCGATTTGTTATTTTCGTTTCTAACAGCAGAAGAAGATTTTACAGTTTTGATTGCAACAAGTACGCAAAATGCCCAAGATTTTGGAAACATTTATCAATCAGTTGCTCATAAATTAAGGAAAGAGAAAGGACAACATTTGGATCCTTTTATGGGAACGTTTTTACTGTCAACGGGAAAAACAAAATCTGGGTAAGTTTAATTATTACCACCGCTTCAAAATATACAATTAAATAATATATTACAATTAATTAATAATTAATAATTATTACAATTTTTAGAAAATTTGAGTGGGCCGAAATTGGTGATGAAGTGAGTACCAAAATAATTGAAAAAACGACACCCTTGCCCAAAACATTTAGAAATCATGTTTTTAATGACAACTTTGGCACTACTTTTAAAGATCTCAAAGAGTCTTGTAATACTTCGTTTAATCCGATTGGAATGATCCAGTGTATTTTTTACTTACGTATGTTTATAATTAGTTTTTTATTGTTAATATATTTCCCATATTATAGTGAAGTATGTGTTTAAATTGCCACATTATTTATTAAGATTTTATGCTGCCATATGTAGCGTAGCACAGGAAGCGGTAGAGGCATTTTCCAGTGTTTACATTGAACGAAGATTGAAACATAGTTTGTCCCCCTCAAATTTAACATATTTGGTCCAATTATTGGAAGGTATTATTTTCGTAATACTATTGCAGTTTTAAAAATAATCTTATTTCAGATGTAATTTTTAATTCGCGAACTTCACCCACTAAAGAAGAACTAATTGAACGGCGAAACAGAGCTTTTGCACTGTTAAATAATGTTGTACCCTCATACTTAGAGTGTATTATTGGCAAGGATGTCAATGAAGGCTTAAAAATGTTTCTCGAAATTTTGCAACATCCACATTACAACAAACATCTTGTGTATAATCTATTGGACTTAATATTGTGTGAAATGTATCCTACTTTACAAAATATTGGAACAAAGTAGTTTTTAATTTGTTTTATTACGTCATATAATGTGATTATTTCTGTGATTAAATTTTTAAAACAAAATAGGGCTTTTTCACTCATAGTAAAGCTTGTAAACAATCAATATAAATAAAGCAAAGAAAGCAATAATTTGACTTACAAATACTCCTCTTCCTGTATAAAAAGTAGATACACGATAATGATCTAGTTTTTAACATCGTTGGAGTTGAGATCTGGGTTTCCCCCTCGTGGATGTGTTTAACGTTACATTGATTCGAGGTTCTGGAACCTTATATACGCTTCAATTTTTTTGGTGATTACGTGAAATGCGTTAAAATTAAAAGTAATTGTACTAAACAACCATAAAAACTGGAATCATCTTTATGGTTCATAAAAAGAATATCCGATTTTTTTCTGCTTTAGTGGATTTAGCGCGCATGGGATGGTAAATTAGACGCGCATGGGATGGTAAATTCGACGCGCATGCGTCGAGAGACGCAGTGAAAATGGCCTCCGTTTTTTAAAGCTGTCAAAGTGACAAAATACTCTCATTAATTTTAGTGTTTAGTTTATAAAAATCGTTTTAATAATGCCAGTTTGTTCAAAATTTCCTTATTTTCCTTTCTAATGTCGACAAGAAATGCTAAAGGTTGGTTGCAAAAACGAAAATCAAATATTAAAACCATCGTACGGAAATGAATCAAATGAAGTGACCAGTTTGATAATAGATAAGAAAGAGAGTACAAGTTTAATTTTATCAAACGGCGATGTAGCGAACAAAACTCCAGAAGACGGACCATCGATGGGTCACAAAGGCCATTACAAACGGGTTTTGCTAAAAAACAACGTAACTCAGGATCTGAGGACTCAAAGTCTGCCCAACTGCTTAGTAGATGACAAAGAGAAATTCCACGACGATGTAGACACTGTTGATAGTTGTGATATTCACAATAAATTGTTGGTAGAAAGTGGTAGTCCCCCACAATCGCCATGGTTCAAAACGTGGCCTGAAAGATGTGACAAAGTCAAAAGCAATGAAAACGCTACTCATTCTTCACAGAATACTCAAATAAAATTGCGAAATTGTGATATTGTAGAAAATGGTAATGTAAAAAATAAAGTATCATTAAGTGAAGCATTGCAAAACATATCATTAGCATATAGTCCAGTGACAAAACAGTTACACTTGGTAGAAACAAACAATGAGGAAAAAAATTGTAATGTAATAGTAGAAGACACCAGTGATAAACTTCCAGAACATACATCTACAGAGAAGAAAGGCCACAAAAGGAACCAAGCTGGCTCTTTCTCTAGCACAGTTTCTAGTTTAAGTGAACCATCACCATCAAGAAGTTTGTTAGATGCTGATGAAAAATCATTGACTAGCTTAGATGATAGTGGGGACCAGGCAGGAAAAAAGGGCCTAAGCAACTTTTTTAGCAGGTAATTCTTCTTAAAGAACATTTCCTTTATTTTTATTGGTTATTATAGAAATGTTTTTTCTTCATGGAAGTCTGGATCTGGTACAAATGCAAGTTCCACTGTTTGGAAATTGTTTAGCAAAACTGCCAAGAATAGTTCTTCAAGTTCGCCACTTCACGGTGTAGTTAGTTCGACTGCACTTATACAACATCCAAGGTATAATCAATTATTACAAATATATTAATATATTGGTGCTTGTATTATGCGCAAATTTACATCTGAAATCAATATTTTTATTAACAGACCGTCCAACTTGCCTGCAAAGACCCAAGAAGAAGAACAGCGACATCGCGAAGAATACAAAGCTATGGTTGCTGCTGCAAGGAAAAAAGAAGCTCAAAATACAGCTGCTAGACAAAAATTGCAGAAATTGCAGTTGCAACAAGAAGAACATCAGGCCACTGCCGCTAAACATTTCATCAAACATGTCTTGCCTAACTGGGAACAAATGTACGTTTTTTCTTTATTTTAAATACCCAAAATAGATTACTTATTTTTTTTAGGTATATGAACAAAAAAACCAGGGACCTCTGGTGGCAAGGTCTTCCGTCCAGCGTCCGCGGAAAAGTGTGGCGTTTGGCCATCGGCAACGAACTAAATCTAACACCTCAACTTTACGAAATATGTCTTTCTCGCGCTCAAAACCGTCTCAACAGCCCTGAACCGTCTCACTGTGAAAACCACATCGACCAAGAGAGCAGCATGGACGTGATCCAATTAGATATCTCACGGACGTTTCCTCATTTGTGCATATTTCAAGAAGGGGGCCCGTATTCTGACATTTTACATTCGCTTTTGGCCGCGTATGTGTGCTACAGACCTGATGTCGGATACGTTCAAGGCATGTCCTACATCGCCGCTATTCTCATTTTAAATATGGATCCTTTTGACGCATTCATTTGTTTCGCGAATTTGTTGAATCAGCCGTTGCATTTGTCGGCGTTCACTTTGAATCAGGAGCAGATGGAGGCGTATTATAGCGCTTATAACGAAGTGTTCAGTTACAATTTACCAAAACTATATGCACATTTCGAGGAAGCTAAATTGACGCCCGATTTGTATCTTTTGGATTGGATTTACACGATTTTTGCCAAGGCAATGCCTTTAGATGTGGCTTGTAGAGTGTGGGATATTTTTTTAAGGGATGGATTCGAATTTATATTCAGAACTGCGTTAGGTGAGTTGTGTTGGTTCTTAAGGTGAAACTTTGTGATTTTTCATTGTTGGTTTTTGTTGTAGGTATTCTTCATTTAAATCAAGATATTTTAATAACTATGGATTTTTTGCACGGAGCACAGTTCCTTACGCGTTTACCTGACGATTTATCGTCAGACCAGTTATTCAGAAGCATACAAGCGGTTACGACAAGTATAGGAAAGCAAAGTTTTTGCCAAATTGTTGAAAAATATAGTCTTTCTGTCAGGTAATAAAATTCCACTTGTTTTTATAAGAGATATTTAGGTGTTGGTTTTTCGACAAAACTCGTTTAATTAAGAATTGAAATAGTAAAGTTAAAAACATTTTTGTGTTAGTTTTTAGTTTGATATGCAGTGAAATGTAGTGTAATTAATAATTATATTGTATTTATTTCCGTCCAGTTACATAATTAGAGAATCTCGTTAAAAATGCTTTATGCATTTACTGATTTTCAGGTAAATACTTTTTATCAAACGATGTAATTCAGTTTGAAAGTATCTGTTTACACTTTACCTTTTCTAACTTGCCATTGTCTTTGTTTTGATATTATGTGTAATTATGACATTTTAAAAAATATACATATTTTTGTCATTTTAAAAAATTGTTTTAATATTTTTTTCGATGTAATGTGTATATTTAAGAGAGTTACGTTTTAGTCAAAGGCTGTGTAAAATTACTAATAATAATCATTGTGGTGTTGTAAAACATTTTTTTATCGGCTGTCTGAATTGAAGTTTTACAAGTACATAAATGTGATTTTTAAGGTTTTCAAAAGGAAGTTTACAGTAAATTTTTGTTGTATGTGCATCATTGTGGCAATAAAATAGTTCTTTATCAATTACAATATAAGGAATTTAAGAATTTAATACAAACTTTTTGATTCATTTCAGCAATGGTATGTATGTATATAAGAATACTACAACAATTTATATCTATGAAAATGCTTTATCTATTTTTTTGTAATTTAAGGATATATCTATACTCGTGAAATAAAATGGTTGGCGATCTGGATATGGTTTTTATTTTTGACAAGTTGTGTACGATAACTTTTATTACCAACATTAACTAACATCTGGTGAAAAAGAGAAAAGGTCAATTGTGAAATTAATTATTTCCAATGAACCATCGTTGCAATAGTTAAATATTTTGTTAATTTTGTTTCTTCTAGTAAATATTTGTTACTTTTTTGTACCAGCTTTTATTTTAAAATTTACTATTGTATTAATTCAAATGTAAAAACTTAAATTTACCACATACTTAAAGCTTAGTGCGTTGATGTTTTTTTTCACGAGAGTACATCATTTATTTAATATTTTATTTATATAAAGTGGCTTAAATGATATGACATTTGTAAAATTACATTTTTCTTCTCTTACGCATATTGTAGATACATACAGTCGCATGCAATATATTTTAAATTTCAGTGTCATTAAGAAAATATTCTTTTTTGTCAAAAATTTTGTAGTCTACTCTTTGTGATTGAGTTCTCTGTGGTCGAAAAGTCAAAAATAATTAAAATGTTGATTGACCTTCTATTATTGCTGACATTTTGGCAAGAATTTAAAATGATACAAAAAATATTCAGCAAAAAAAGACATTGACGATCAAAATATATTGCATGCGACTGTATGTTCCCTATCGGACAAGAAAAAGAGACATCAAATTTTTGATATCTTTTGAAAATTAACTGTAAAGTAGATTTCAACGTCAGATTTGACAAAACCTCAAAGACGTTAAAACGCTAGGAACATCATTAACAACTTTCAAGGGCGGTTTCACATTCAATGATCTGTCCTATTTCTTTGTCCGGTATAGTATTTGCTTCTTTTAAAGATATAGATATATATTTAATTCATATATACAGTTGGGGACAAAATACTTTGGTCGTCACTTTTCTGACACTTTAATATAATTCAAGCTTTAATGAATGACAATTTCAAATTAATGACAGCGATTATATCCATCTATCAAAAATATGTACAACTTGTCAACTATGATTGACAGTAGCTAAAAATAAGGTTAAGAGCCCTAAAGCATGCTTTACAATGTAATGTCACTCAAGTGACATTGACGACCAAAGTATTTTGTCTCCAACTGTACATTGGTAAATATTGAATAATTGAATTGATATGTACATTTTATAAAAAAAATAAAACAGGAAATGAGTATAGACAGTACTTTATTTGTGGTGTGACCAAATAAAAAAATAAATGTGTGATCGAAGTCGTTGTCTTTGCTTGATTCAAAAAATTGTACTGTATTGTTACAATTTATCAAACTCAAAATAATGCTGCCAAAACGAAGACTTTTTTGTGAATTAAACAAGGACTTTTTGTTTTTGACTTCAACTACACATTTATTTGATAATACGACGATATTAGATCACCCAATATTTTCCAGAATCATTTCAAAACTTGGACGTTTAAGTTTTTAATGTTGGTAGTTCCCGTTCCGTTACCATGGTAGCTGCCTAGTTGTTATGTCAATAATGTTAACCTAACTCCTTAGATTTAATTGATTTTTTAAAATACAAACAAATCTTCTAGAATGAATTGGGATGAAGACATAGACTTACTTCCAAATAAAAAAGTAAGTTTTCTGATTTTGAAAAGTGATTTTTATTTTCAAGGTTAGTCTGCTACTAAACATGGAAGACGAGCGAGCAATGCTCCTGGAAGTCCAGAAGATCAGCCAGAAAGTTCTAAAAAGACAACTCCACCAGAAGTGCCTATAAGAACTAGAAAAACTGGGGGATGGGCCGATGAAGGCGTTAAATCTGCAAAGTATTTTTTTATTAAGTACAGTTGCGGAATTAAAATGTCGGGCAGTATTGTCATTTACACTATGTAAACAAACAACCTTTACATTAACCTCATTTTTTACTTTTGTTTTTTTTATGTCATTTTAACTTACCTATTTACTTTCAAAAATAGCGTCACCGACAGAAAAATTAAATTGTCAAATGTCAGTCATGATGACAGTAAAAGGTTGTTTATGGTGAACTTATTGAAGTGACAGAAAAATACTGCCCGAAATTTTAATTCCGGAACTGTACTTTATAAAAATACATCTTTTACATATCTCGTGAATTGTAGGGTAAAAGGATCAAATATAATTGAACAGTAAGTATACAGTTTGCATTTATGTAATGTTTTGATAACAATATTATAAAATAATGTTAGAGAACGTTTTCAAAATGAGAAACCACAAGAATCTGAAGATGATATTCCAGTAATACCTGATATTGACGACATCGCTGATGATCTACTCAATTTGCCTGATGTAAAGGTTCCTAAGTGAGTTGATTGAATTGTAATGTTTGTTTTTTTATTATTCTTATGTAGTATAACGGTAAAAGAATCAACTTATAAAGAATTAGATAGTCAGTTTGAGACTGGACAACCAAATTTTGGAAATATTGGTGATATAGACTTGTCTATTTTAACAACTAGACTTTATTCAGAGAAAGATGTTCAAAGATGTACTGAAGTATGGACTATGGAATCATTGTATCAAGACCTTGCAAAACAGTGATTATCATGAAAGAGATTTAATTAAATTTTTACTGGTTTAGTAATTAAAGAGATTCAATTGGATTTATGCACCATGAATTGTTTTTATCCAGAAATGCAATTTTTAATAAAAAAAAATTGTTTTTGATAAATTGTTTTTTATTAAGGAAAAGAGTTCTCTCCCATAAAACATTTGTTTATTTATTACACAAAGTAATTATAAATGCATGTGGTAAAACATACTTTGGTCAGTATTTCTACAATAAACATTACAAAACTGACGATAAGACCATAAGCTAGAACGTAGAAAACGTGTTTGAGATGGTGGAATTTTAAAATGCTTTCATTGTTATCAAAAGAAAAACTGTTATAATTATGATCCGAATAATCTTCCTTAACCACTTTATATTGCTTTTCTCGTAACAAACATTCGCTGATTTTTTCTAAATATGGAGAATGTTTTTGAAAAATATACGTATTATGACTTGGTACCAAAACTTCTTTCATTACATAAAAGACAATTCGCTTATGTTCATTTATCAACATCTGTTCTATGCTTTTTGCTGAAGCCCAAGACATGGTATAGGCTCCGGAGGTGTTCAAATCCTTATAAATCATTTCGGTTCTTTTATTTTTATTATCGAGATAAATAAAATGTGTGCGAAGATCGTTCTTTTCTGAAATTCTATCAGCCAAAGAATGAGAAATATAAATTTTTATTTGGCTTTGCTTTAATTCCGTAACAGTATTTATTTTATTACTCGGATTTGATGTCAAAAAATTACTAATCAAGAAACACTGAAATGCTGTTCTGAAAATGATTGAAGCGTAAATGAAAATACAAATTTGAATTTTTCCACTGATACGTTTTTTATTCAGGTTCGGAAAAGGATAACCCAAAAGGCTTGAATAAATGTATAACACTGTCTGAAAAAATATTTTTTTTAAATTAGTTTCGCCAAGTAGTGCAGTAATTGAAACTGTAACAATTATTACAAAAAGTAGAATCATTGGAATCATTTCGAACAGCATGATAGATTCAGAATTGTTAGACATTTTGTTAAACGGTAATAAAACAGCTAAACCGTTGGTGTCATGAGGATAAGTAAATTCAGCATTTTCATAGGCATCAGTTCCTCTAAAGTGACTAACAAAACAAAAATCTGTGATGTCATTTAAAACATCGTTGTAACATCCTTTGAAATATGTATTTTCCGGAGGTTCAATAATTTGAAACGTTGAGTTTAGCATGTTTGTAATTACTTTTAAAACATTATAATCTTTACCTACCCATTTGTCGTTTGATTTGCCTACTAATGGGAAGTTTTTAAAAAAACTTACTCGGAGTTTATAACCATGCAAATCTTGTAATTTGTTTGGAAAATATCCCATGCTGAGGGTGAGATTGAGAATTCTATCAATAAATGGATTGTAAGAAAAAATTTGCAACGTGTCGTGGACAAACACAACAACAAAATTTAGGATGTGGTTTTTCCATATAATTTTCACAAAATCTTGTACAAGTCCAATAGAATCGATTCGTCTACAGATTATGAAATGTGTTTCTCCTCTTCCATTCCAAAATGTGTAATTCTGTATCCGATGTATATCTTTTTCGACTTCACTAAGATCTTCAATAAAGATAAAGGCAGCTTGCGTTTTGGACATGGCGCTTGATTCAATAAAAGAATCACTTATGGTGAACGATGGACACAAATTACGGTTGAGGAAATCGTCAGAAATATGTCTTGTGGATGGTAAATTAACATTGAAGTAGCTGCAGGATGTGTAATTTCCAAACAGTGAATATTTTTTTAGATGGTTTTTTACAATATCATTTTGGAAAATAGTTTCAGAGGGATGAAGTAGGACTAAAAAGAACAATAATGTTACACACATAACGCTCATTTGTTGTATATTAAAAAACGTGTTAAACCTAATGGTTAGTGCTATATTGTCTGTTAAAAGGATAAAGGGATCACGTATTCGGAGGCTATTATTTTTATTATACCTATAAGTAATAAAATTACAGTTTTATAAAATCAATAGTTGTACAATAGTTGGGCATTTTAGTGAAATTTTATGTTATTTTATTAATTACTACAATTATGTTAATTTTCGGCAATTTAGACATTAGTTCAGAATTTGTATATACAACTGCATACAATTTCGATTAAAAACACTAATGTGCTACCACATAATCCCATTAAATATAAATAAAATATACTTTGTAGATGCTGCATTCCTAATACTACCTGACTGTCACTTATTTCTTTTACATTTCGCTGAGATTTCCTCATTTTTGATAAACCATATTGCACTTGCCTCAATAAACATTCACTCAGTTTTCTCATATAAGGCGAATGTCGCTGCAAAATGTAAGTGTTGATGCTAGGAACTAACTTCTCTTTCATGACGTAAAACGGTGGTTTTGCATATTTGCTTCCTAAGGTTTCCATAAAAGTGTCTGCAAAGGTTGTAATAATAATGTAAGCTGTCCTTGTGTCTAAACTGTACAATTTTTTTATCCTTTCCGCAGGAGTGATAATGGAAATTTTATCACACAAACCGTAATCTTGAGGAAGAATACCTGCCAATGACTGTGACGTAAGGATGTTCAGTTTGGTGTTACGCAGTTCTGCAATTGTTTCAATTTCTTCAAAGGGTTTTGGGGTTACAAAAGAACTGACAAGGAAACATTGAAAAGCTGTTCTAAAAATTATACATCCAAAGAAAAATATGATGAGTTGTATTTTTATGATGAATTTTTGATAGTCAAAATTAACGAACGGGTTTCCAAAAACACTGTTGATACATCGAAGAAGAGTCACAAAGTAAGTTTCTTTCTTTGGAAGTCTTGCCAGATTTGTTACTAAAGAAATTGTTACAATAGTTGTAAAAAATAAAATGCGAAGCCAGAAATCAAAATCGGATAAGTATTTTTGGAGATTAAATTCATCTTCTGTAACAGGAATAACCACTGATAGTTGGTTTGTTTCGTGAGGGTAAGAGTATTCAGCATCTTGGTACAAATTATTCATGTAATAATGGCTTATGAAACAGAAATCTGTAACATCATTCATGGCATCTTCGTAAGCTCCGGTATAGTATGTGTGTTCCGGAGGTTCAATTATTTTGTATGTTGCATTTATCATAGATGTGACCAATTTTAAGCGAACGATATCATTACCAACCCATTTACCATTTTCTTTCTTATTTAGGGGAAAGTCATTGAATAAAGACACTCTTAGTTGATACCCATACAAATTTGATAATTTGTCGTGAAATAAATTACAACCAACACATGAGTTTTGTGTTAGATTTATGACTTCATTTTTGAAGCCATTATAAGTGAAAACTTCCAACTGCTGAAAAACTAGTACCACTACAAAGTTGAAAATATGTCGACTCCATATAGTTTGCATAAATTTGGTCAAAAAATTTAAATCTGTGATCGTTTCACAAATTATGAAGTGATTTTCTAGACGAGGCTCCCAAAAAGGAAACTTTCGAAGTTGATCAATTGTCACGTTAATGTTTTTGGTATCTTCAACGAAAATAAACGTTGCATGCATTTTTGGAACATATCTGGAAGCATTGAAGAAGTTGCTTGCTATGACGGCTGGGCAAGCGTTATATCTGATGAAAACATTTGAAATGTCTTTTGTATTTTCGTTATTCACATTAACATAACTGCAAAAAGCCAGTTGTTTGGGAGACTGATGTTTTCGGATGTATTCTTCAAAATATTGGTTTTTGGGTAGTTCTCTCGGAGCGTTTATTAAAGTTTGACATGCATTTATAATTATTAAATTAACGTAAAGTTTTGATAAACTCCATGTCGACATTGTTGTTTTGTAAAGTAAATGAATTGTCTGCTGATATTCTTGAAAATAAAATCGATTTCTGATTGAAAAAACACATTTCAATGAATAAAAAATGGATCAGACTAATTACAGTTATAGCGTAATTTCTGATGTGTTTTCATTTTCTTACTGAATATACGAGGTGTTTTGTTAAAAATAGTCCAAAATTCTTTATGGTATATTATTTGTGTCCAGAAAAACGTTAGGGATTAGGAAAGGTAATGTATTCACTATACCGATATTATGACTACATGTCAGGTATATAGTAATTGATTTTTTCTTTTATAATTTTACTCTATTTCATAATTTTCGTTATTAATAGATAATAGTATTCGTGTCTCTGGGTATTTAATATGTAAGCTTATGATGATTGATTGCGTGTATTATCTACGAAACATCTGCATTACGTGTGAAAGTAACAATAAATAACTAGTATTTTATAAATAATACAGGGTGTTTCCGGATTACGAGCAAATATTCTAACCACTAAAATAATTCGTTATGAAAAGGCAATTTGAAGACCAAACAAATTTCGCATTCAATTTTTTTTTTCGGAATCTTTTCTTTCATGATTTCTAACAGCCGTTCAGTGTGCCTGTTTTTGTTATGTGAAAGTAAGATTTCAAAGAAAATTATTTTTATTGAATGTCGACTGTGAAAGTTTTTATGCACAATAAAGGGATAATTTTGTCACAAAAAATTATAAGGTGTTTGTTTACACGCGTCGGTTTAGTTATTTGTAAACGCCCTTTCGGGTGATTTGTGCACATCGATTTGAAATCAAATTGTAAATTAAGTCGTTATGGCCACCGAATTGACTATTGTGTAGGTACGGGCATCACTTAGTGCTCTTCTCGTAGTATTTCTTAGTTTTTACTAAACTATATTGTACTTGCTTTTGTATCATTTCCTAAGTTTTTCCATATAAGGTAAATGTTTTTGCAAACAGTACCTAGTTTTAAGATTGATAATAATTGATCAGGAAATAAATGATATTTGTTTTGCATGAGACCGATTTCTTTATGATTTCTGAAGTCATTGTATGCGAAAACCGGTGGAAAACCAGCATTATCACAAAATTAATAGCATGTCTTTACCATACAGTGCTCGCAAATTCGTGTAAAAAATTTAGATTTTTACAAATTAGAAAATGAGAAGAAATACTTTCGAAAGTTGGTCAGTCATTGATATTGTCAACATAAATAAATGTTACTTGCATTTGTGCAACGTATCCGGAAGCATTAAAGAAGTTTTTTGCTATTACTGCTAGACATGTATTA